TTTTGAAAACAAACCTGCATTATTGAAAATCTTGGTAGCGGTGGGAATGTACTGCTCCATTTCCTTTTTTATCTGAATCAAAAATCGTATATATGTGAAAAGAACAGTATCTTACATCTTTTGAACCTTACTCATTGAAAGTAAGAATTAACATTTTATCTCTTGAAAAATGTATAGCTCTGTCTAAAAAGCTTAACTACACTGGGAGCTCGTGAAATGTAAATTTTGAGAGCAAAACCTTACACTTTCGTCAAGATTTGTATACTTGTTTAAGAAGTTGCGGAAAAATGCTTGAGCGGCGAGGTTCTCAGGCTTTAGCGATGGCACACCCATCACCTGTTTCGTCATCTAAAAGTGAAAGTATTTCCAAGGTATTAGCGTTAGTGTAGGAGACTAACATCCATGAAAAAATTCTTGCCCCCTGCTCCCAACTTTTCTATATCGAGTCCACCCGTTGACTGAGCTGGATAAGACATACAAGCTGCAAGAGTTAGTAAAAGTAGAATTGTTGGTCGCCACATTCTGTAAGAAAATTGTTGAATGAAAGGAATTGAATAATTTAAGCAAATCGAGAGCTAAACGGTTTTCGAAATAATGAACATAGGCAAATTAGTGAATGATCGAATGAATTAATAATCGACAAAGCAATAGAATATCAAATAAAATGGGTGAGTAAATAAAATCATAAGCTCGACGAGAATCCAAATGAACAACTGCAACAGTGAATCTGATAGGTCCGAAACGGACTCTATATGCTCTGTTATTTTGTTTACATTAAAGTAATAAATTGAAGAACAGTTGTCTATAGCAAAGCAAATGAAAAACACTCGAGGAAGCAACAGATGTAGCACTGACTATGCACAGCTGTTCGTGCCGATTGAAAATATTGTCTAATGATTTGGATGAAAAAATTTCCGCGTCTATTAGAATTCTTGAAACGATTCACGTGAAAAGGTAAAAGTGTATGTCTTGATTTTGTAAGAAAATTATGTTTTGCATTGTACTCCCATTTGGATCCACATTAGAGGGCAAGCGTGAAGTGGATAGTTGCTTCACATTGAAAACATCTAACAACATCCCATGGCAGACATAAACAAACTCATGTTCGGCTTCTTTGATATCAAGGCGCAGCTGTTGAGAGAAATAATGCTGGACATGATGGACCTTACGAACCGAACAAAGAGTAATAAAACCCTCAAGGCTATCCTTCTCTCAAGGTATTGAAGGTTTGAACTGCGTGAACTTACGAGAAAATCGTTAAACACTATCTTCCAACAATTTCTGAGGCAGTATCATAATGGTAAAAATACTCCAATCATACACGGACTTTTTAATACTTAGGTACCGGTTTTCTATAAGGTATAGTCCCTATTAATGAATGCAAAATACTTAGCCTGATTATAATAACTCCCAAACGCAAGGCGGAGAATTTCTAAGTAAAAGAAATGTATTAAGATGTCTATGAAATAAATTTTAATGGAGATGAAGTAACATATTGGAAAATTTGTAGAGGCTAAGAACTGCACTGGTAGCATAGCTTCCTTGGTGCTCCGAGGCAGAGACACCCTTTCTCAGTAGTTCCTAATGAAGTTTTAAAAAAAATGGATTTTACACTAGTTTAATTCCACGACGGGACTTGAAGAAGAATAGTGCAGAATGGAAGAAGAAAAGAAGGGTGTATTGCTAGAAGATGTGAAAGGTAGCGATAATATATTGTTGTGCCTTAGCCCTGAAACGCATCAGCATTTATCCAAGTATCGTTTCCTGCATTAATGGCAAATGTATCGCTGTAGCAAACTCGTACTTATGTAGTATGGATA